GTCTACCACCGAGAATATTTTAAGCCATCACTGTGGTCGGTGGGAATCGGAAGCGGCATTCATCACGACCAGCTATTTCGAACTCACGCCACCTCATTGGAAGGCGAGCTCTCTATATCCTAAGCAACCACGGCTCTATAAAAATGTATATTTTATTTCAAAACAGTCATTGAACAGCCGACTCGAATTTGAGTTGACGACTAACAATATTCAAATCCGTAGCCTTGGAATTTTGAACCCAATTCAGAAGATAAAGGAACTCCTGGATCAGTACCCCCAGAGGCATTAATTTGTTATGGAAACTTGGAGGACTGTGTGACCCCGACAGATTAAACGTGCACATGTCACCATTTACTCCCACCAACCAGGCTATCCCAGTCCTAAGAGATATGTATTATAACCGTCGTTGAACAGACAAACAGACAACCCAATTTAAGGTTTACGACTATTAGTGTTCTACTCCGTAGTCTTGTAATTTTGGACGCAATAAAGAAGACAAGGGATCAAGTAAGGGATCCTAGAACAAGTATGGGGAGAAATTTGCCTTCGTGGAAGATATTTTGATGGAATTAACCCGCATTTGCGTTTCATGGCGAGAAAAACCGCGAAAACCTCTCACTGTAAGAGGACTCTAGCCCACAATCCGTTTACCCCTGAGGATATTTTACTCCAGCACTGTGGTCTGTGGTAGCCGGATGCGGAATTCAGTACGACCAGCCATTGCCGGGATTCAAACCCGATTCACCTATTTGGAAGGCTGCGAACGCTCAATCCACTGAGCCACACCACGGCTCTAAAATGTATATAGAATAAATTTCGTACCGATAAATAAAAAATACATTTTCAAAAAATTTCGAGTAAGACGGAGACGTTAACTTGTTCGAAATAATTGCCCTTGTAAGTATTTAACTTTGATTATTGGGTGTGGGGTCAATCCATTGTTTCATTCGACAATTGAAGTTTCAATTCTAAACAGAATTGTTTGACATCCTTACAAAATATTTTTAAGATTACCTGTAAGAAGAAAAAAAATTGTACTGTATGGATTTTTTAAAAAGTTGTGACCAATTAAATATTTTTATTTTTTCAGTCCTAAAGTCATAACAATTATATTACGTAAAACTTATTTTAAAATCGCGTTAAGTATTTTCATTTTAAATACTGTGGAACTAAATGAATATTCCCAAGAAACTAAAGCGGAAAGCTCGAAAATAAACACCCATTCTCACGGCTTGCCATACGTAAAGAGTAAAAACAAAAATGATTTGAAACAAAAAATGTAAGGCTGTCAACGGAAATTGGAAGATAATAATGAAATGGAAAACTGGAAAAACCGCGGTAGCCGAGAGTGAAACAGAGAATGAATACCTTTTTAGTACAACTTTGGCTACATCTGATAAAACAGACGTGCTTTAAAATTTTGACTAACGTGATTCGGAAGAGTTATTAAGAATGTCTTGTTATTAAGAATGCGAAAAATCAGCAATTGCATCAATTTTTGGAATCTTGGGCGTGAATTCAATTTCTATAATGCCTAAATTCTTACCACCCCTGTCACACCAGCTCATCTTGATGCCCGTGAATCTTGTGCCGCTCTTGAATCCGATTCTCTTGTTAATGACATGAGTTGATCACCATTTCTCTAGTGCGAGTGGAAATGCATTTTGCCCAGGTTTGCCTCTCCCGGCCACTGCGGTCTCCCTACCTTTATTTATTTATTTTACCTTTCTTTGGTATAGCTGTTTCTTCCAGTTTCATTTTTCGTTGGAAACTACATTTTCTGTTTTAAATCACTTTTGATTTCCTTATTCATTTCTGACAAGTCTTCAGAATGGGCATAATTTTTTAGCACTCAAAATAGGCCGACTTTTATACCATCTTTATATTTTTTGAAGCCAATGATCAAGCCATAATCGAGTATACTTATTACATTTATGGCTTGATGATTATTTTGACTGCAACATGTGTAATATTTTGAATGCAAACATCTGTATTTTATTATTTTCACAATGTTCAAGCTGTTCTTAAAACACTAAGAAAACCAAGGCATCAGTATTAAAATCATGTAGTTATCTTTACTTTAGAGATAAAATTGCAAAACGTAAGATTTAAATCAGATATTTGGTTGCTGTTGTTGTAGTTCATTTACGTCGCACTAGAGTTGCACAATGGGCTATTGGCGACGGTCTGGGAAACGTCCCTGAGAATGATCCAAAGACATGCCATCACAATTTTGATCCTCTGCAGAAAGGATGGCACCCCCGCTTCGGCAGCCCTACGACCTGCACGCGAACTCGAGCACTTTACGGTAGAACAGTTTAACGAGGACCAATACCGCATACCCTCGGTCCCTACACAGACTGATCCAAGTGGTTACCTACCCGCACCCTGACTGCAGTCAGTGATGCTTGACTTCGGTGATATGCTGGGAACCATGTCTTAACTTAATGATCAGTCCACTACGGAACATCAGATATTTGGAATTATTAAAATTAACTATTGAATGTTGTGGTATATATAAACGCAATTAAATGCGTTTATCGTCTTACTTTTGTCGCCACCGTTTCAGTTTCGTTATGTACTCTGTTTAAAAAGAAACTATTATATCTGATATGTATGTAATTGTTTTATGATGATGAGAATCGTAAAGTAAGTTTGTAAAAAAGGAATAAGGCAAACTAATGATAGCAGCGATATTTGGTTATACAATAGGTATTTCTATCTTGCAGTTAGTTTATGTTTATCTTAAATTACTCCACCTGCTACGGCGATAAAGTTTTGTCTTATTTTGGGGAATACGCTAAAATATGCTTGCACGAAAGTTATTCAGGGAACGAAAGTTATTCAAAATGTCCAAGTTTTTTTTAACCGAACCATTAAGCATAACTTTTGATCTAACGATCGGATTTTCACATACTAGGACGTTTTTTTTCTTCTTTGGAATGTAGAGCGCAAACCAGTGATCGGGGGCGTCATGTCTTATTCACCAAAGTTTGTGCGGATCGGTTAAAAATTGCGAATTTGTCTAGAGTAAACAGGTTCAGTGCACCAAAAAGAAAAAAGTGGTCCTAATAGTTTGGCCCAGAGACCATGTCCAAAGTAAACCCTTTAATGTTAATTTTACCTCTCACGTATTTCGTTATATGTTAAGCATTTATAAAAATAATTTTAAGCGAATTTAAAAATTTTTACACACAAACATAATATTCGTTTATTCAAATATTCCATACGAAAAATAACTTTTAATAATTTTTATTATTTCATTTAATAATTGTCGAAACTTTTTAAATAGATAGGTAAACAATTCATTACATAATTTAAAGAATGTATTGTTAAAAAGCATATTGCAAAATTTGAGTGAAATCGGTCAAATAGTTCCTGAGAAATCGAAGTTTAAAAATACTACTTTTTAAAAATTTTTTAGACCGCTCTCCTAATCTGATCAAACTATTAGGATCATGTTTCTAAGATTGTGACTATTCCCTATATTTTGAAAGTAAGAATCTGTCGAAAAAAAGGTATGCTTATTCAGATAAAGTTTGCATTTGCGTCTGATTACATAACTAAAAATATCGTCTGCTGACGTTAGCATATTTGAAGTCACCCTCTCGAACGTGAAAATCCAGTAAGTGAAAATCCGATCATTAAACCAAAAGTTATTCAGGGTGGTTTATTTTATTTTATTTATTAATTGTGCGCACTGTACGTTTCCACATTGTATGTAGATAAACACAAACTTAAATTCCACATAAATAAACTCGAACATACATTGCTTGTAAGTAGAGTAGTATGTACATAAAATCTATATACATTTTTTGTACGCATTGTATGTAATGTACATACCCGCGTACAAGTACATATTGCAACTTTCGGTAGATACACACCTACATACATTGTATGTATAGTGAGCAAAATCAAAAACCGACCACCCTTAATAACTTTTGATCTAATGATCGGATCTTCACGTTCTGGGACTCAATTTTAAGGGATAAATAATTAGTTCTAATATGATAAATAATTAGTGTAGACGATATTTTAAGTTACGAAATCAGATACAAAAACGTACTTTCACTTGATAAACATACCTTTTTTGACACATTCGAATTTCTGACTCCAAAATTATCCAGGGTAGCCGAAATCGGCGAAATATTGCACTCTGAAGTTTTTATCTCTTAATATTAATTTTACTTTTTGCGTATTCCGCCATATCGCGAAAACTTTCTTTGTGCATTGAAAAATTTTCCAACTCAATTATGAAATTCGTTTATCAAAAGACAATTCCTGGCAAAAAATAACTTTAAGCAAATATATTTTTTGAAAGTTATTTTATTTATGAGTAGTTTTGAATTGTAAGATATAAAAATTTTTTGCATCAGTTTAAAGAATGCAATTTTACATGTCAAACTACAAAATTTGAGCGGAATCGATCGAATAGTTCCCGAAAAATCAAATTTTAAGAAACTTATTTTTTTTATTAATATTTTTATAAATTTTTTGAATATTTATTTTTTGTAGTAATTAAACTTTGAATTTTGACACCAAAGCGAAATGTGAAAACGATAATGTTGCACTCCTCGTCATTCATATTACAAAACATTGAAAAATAATTTTTTTCGTTTTCTGATTTAAGCTACATTGTTTTCAAAAAATTTAATATTTTAGCTGTGGTAACACTTGTTTTGAAATGCTATTTTAATGGTTAATCTAAGTATAAAATAATAAAGTTAATTTATCTAGCAATTAATATTAATTAAGTTGTTCGAAGTAGACTTGACATTTTATAAGCCTGACTTTCAAAATTCTTTGTTTCTACTCATCAAAAAGTTTTCCAAATTATCAGAATAATTTATGTCTTCCACCAATCCCTCTTTTATTCAACCTTGCACCCCTTTTCTTCACGTTATCTCATCTGACAGTCAGAGGTCAAAACTTGAATTTCCCTCCAAGCTCAAATTCCACACAACAAGATAAATAAATAAAAATAAAAAAGAATTTTTTAGTATTTTAACGATAAATGAAATTAATATTAAGAAACACTTCCATAATTTTAGATTTTACGAAAAAACATTGTATTGTTCTCAAGTAGATCAAATTTCAAATTTGATTGTGCAATAATAAATATTACGTCTAGAGAAAAAGAATAAGGAGAGGACTTTTGTCAACCAATCAGAAAAGAGGCTGCTCTGTCACTGCGGTGGGTTTAAATGCCGCGTAGGTGACCTTCATTTACCCTGTTGTTCCAGAGTTTGACATCTGTCGGAGTGGTTCCTAATTTCTCTGCCGGTAAATAGGTAAGTACAAGCGAATTGAGCAAAAATTAAAGTCAATGGATTCTTAATTTCTTATCTTGTAGAATTTTAATGAATATTTTATATCATGTAAAATTTTAGAGTTCAATTTTTTAAGTATGTAGCTTTGAAATTATAGGTCGACGCAACACTTCCTGATTTTGCATCATTTTTAATTAAAACGAGGTGGTAAATGCTGCACCCTTATTTTATACTTTTAAAACTCAAATAGCATTGAATTATATTTATAAACTGTAAGAATATTAATCCAATTGCTATTTCTTAATCTTTGCTATTTCTGCAACTTGCGGTTTATTTACTTCATATTTTTCCAAGTCATGACTCTATATGTAATTAGTTGAAACCCCCTTTTCTTTGCAATCTATTCAATTTTATGCATCATGAAGTAAATAACAAACTATAAAGTTTTGTATTTTAACTCTCTTTTTTTTTTCCTCTGTAAATTCTTGTTCAAATTAGGATGTTCTTCATAAACTATACTTTCCGCTTTTAATGATGGCATTTTACTGCAATTGAGTGACTTCAATATGTTTTGTTTTTTAATAAGTTTGACCTTAGTTTGTATGCATATTCCTTATTTTAAAGCCGAATTTGAAAAAGCGTTACTACGTGTATGAAACTTATCTAATTATTTCCCAATGTTTAAATTTATTGTATTACAGTTTTTTTTATTGTATTGTTCATTTTTTAGTTCTTGTTTATGATTATGAAGTTTTTATATTAGTAAACAATTTGCATGCAATATAAAATTTAGTCTTTTTAAAAAAGTATACCTAAGCCTTAAGTTCTATGAAATTTTGCTAGGATTATTTAAGACTTTCTTCCTTTTTTTTAAAAAAAAATAGTTTAAATACATATTAAGCAATCAAAAGAAGGTTTGTATAGTCAAAATGAGTGATTTTGTTAGAAATGTAAGTTTCTGCATAGAATAAGTTATTATCCATCATGCAGCCAAAATCATGTTTTGAAATTACTATGGTTCAATTTTAGAAGACATTGTAGATTAGTGAAATAATTTTACAATTTTTTTGATGCTATATTAAGAAAGAGCAGGAAACTATTGTATTTGTGAAGATCCATCTTTGTAATGAATATGCTAAACAAAATGACACTGATAACCTTAATGACCTTGTCAAATCTTTGGCAAGTGCCCCAAGGATAACAAGTCTTTGTAGAGCAAGACTATAAGTAAATTTTTTACTAGTACTAATTGATTTGATATTAGAATTTTATAATTCTAGTAAAGATAATTATACTTCAATTAGAATTCTTTTATATTCTCAGAATTCTTAAATCTTGTGATGTGGAGTTTATTTTTTCTAGACATTTAAGATATTTATATTTGCAGATCACCAACAAAACCATGGCTCATTTCAGCTACCTAACCGAAGAACAGCAAAATGGTTTGCGAGCAACTGCTGAAGCTATTGTTGCTCCTGGTAAAGGAATTCTGGCTGCTGATGAAAGTACAGGTTAGTATTAATTTTAAATTTAATTTCTCTATCAATTTTGTAATTTTTTTTTCTACAATTTTAGTAATTATATTAATTTAATATCATATTCTTAAATAGTATTATATCTAACCGCATAGTGAATATATCTTGACTCTTAAATTCATGAATTTTTAATAAATAAAATTAGGAATCAATTAAGAAATCTTGTAAGTCAATGAAAGAAAATTAGTTTTTTTTTATATTTTTGGTTTTAAAAAAAGCATTGTTTTATTTCTGATTGTGAACAATCAATTCTTGAGTTCTACAAATCTACTACTGCATACAGTAGTGTGTTTCAAACACAATGAGTTTATGCATATCTAATTGTANTATTTTTTCTAGACATTTACAACATTATCTAGACATTTAAGATATTTATATTTGCAGATCACCTACAAAACCATGGCTCATTTCAGCTACCTAACCGAAGAACAGCAAAATGGTTTGCGAGCAACTGCTGAAGCTATTGTTGCTCCTGGTAAAGGAATTCTGGCTGCTGATGAAAGTACAGGTTAGTAAATTAATTTTAAATTTAATTTCTCTATCAATTTTGTAATTTTTTTCTACAATTTTTTAGTAGTTACATTAATTTAATATCATATTCTTAAATAGTATTAATTTAGTGAATATATCTTGACTCTTAAATTCATGAATTTTTAATAAATAAAATTAGGAATCAATTAAGAAATCTTGTAAGTCAATGAGAGAAAATTAGTTTTTTTTTATATTTTTGATTTTAAAAAAGCATTGTTTTATTTCTGATTGTGAACAATCGATTCTTGAGTTCTACAAATCTACTGCATACAGTAGTGTGTTTCAAACACAATGAGTTTATGCATATCTAATTGTAATTCATACAACTCGCTGAAATGAAATTGTGTGCAGCCAATAATGAATTTTCACAGATAAAGTACAGATAATGGGAACAGAACATTGATATGAGAACTATACAATGAACTTTTAATACAATTCTAGTTACACCACCTTTTATAAAATGGTGCATTGATCTATTTTACTAATTTTTAAATAAGTAACATGTTTAACTGGGCTTTTTATTTAACTTTCCTTTTCCGATAATAAAATGCAAGAACTAAGTTTTTATAATATCTATTTTTTAAATAAACTAATTAAAACAAAATCCTGAATAAAAATAAGGTTCAATATTCTCAAATTTAATCAGTTTGAAGAAATATGATCAAATACAATTTACCTTTCTTTTGTTATCCCTTTTCCCTTATGTTAAAGAAATCAAGGAAAATGTTTAAGTTTCAGTGTTCCAAAAAAAAAAAAAAAAACTGCTCTTAAGTGTTTAGTAATTAATGTTTTGACTTTCACATGAAAAATGGGATCTAGTAGTAAAGAAATGTTTTTCCATTTCGGAATGGCAAACATTTTTTGTTTGAGTTCAGTTTAAAAAATTTTAATGTAAACATACTGCAAAATTATAATTTTTTTTTTCTACATTAAATATTAAATCACTACTCTTCAAAAAAAACTTTGGATATGACATGATTTAAAACCATTTTTTTTTCTGCAGGTTTTCATAGTTTTTTAATGCTACATTATAAACGGGAAATTTTAAATTGCATTCTATTATATTTTTATGTATATAATATATCTGACACAGAAACTTGGAAAGGCGCTTTTGAATAATCACTTAATGATCCGTTTAGGTTGTGACAATTTTATCTCAAATCTGAAATTTCATGCAGGGTATGGTACTTTTTTTATGCAAGATGTGAGAAAAATAAAAAAAATTTTTGAGCTTTTGTGAAATTTCGTTTGATAGTTTCATATTGTAGCGGAAACCTGATTGAAATCTAACAAAAATGATAATCTGATAAAAGGCTAAAATTAGCAGTAAAATGGAAGATCATCTCTGCATGCTTTTTGTTTTAACAAGTTGAAAGAGTTAGAAAAACGTTTGTTTTTTAAAATAAGAAAAGTTTTAATTTTTTGGTTGTTGGAGTGTCCATAGAAGAGGGACCCTTCTGGTAAACTCACTTTCGGATGCGATTCTTTGAAACGTATATTTTTGAAAACTATTGCAAATAAAACTAGATATATTTGTAATATTTTTCTTATTTAGCCACTGTGGGTAAGAGATTTGCAAATATTGGTGTTGAAAACACTGAAGAAAATAGGAGAGTTTACAGACAATTATTGTTTACCTCTGACAAGATCATGGAAAGCTACATTAGTGGTGTGATCCTCTTCCACGAAACTCTGTTCCAGAAGACAGATGATGGTACCAATTTCGTTACCCTCCTCCAAAATAGAGGAATCATTCCTGGTATTAAGGTTGACAAAGGTGTCATTGATCTTATGGGATCAGATGGAGAATCTACTACTCAAGGTAATGAAATTTTTTTTATTAATTCCCTTTCGTGAGTTTTATTTATATTTTAATACTTTAATGTGCTAGAAAGTGGTTTTCTATTATGTATATAGTTTTCTAATGACTTAGCTTTCTGACATTAGAGATGTCATGTTAACCCTGTAATTTTTGCAAACTCTTTTGACAATCGTATTTTTTCCCTTTTCCTTAACTTTTTCACACCTAACGGGACACATACGTCCCAAGCAAATTTCAAAAAAATCTTTTGACAGAAACACTTCTGTCTAATGGGAGACTTTCCCACCAGTCCTGCCAATATTTTTGAAGGTATTTTAATTCACAGAACATAGATGGCACTACTGTACATAATGATGCCCTACTCATACTTTATGCTACCAAAATTGTTCTATTATTAAAAAAAAAAAACTCTTCACAATAAGGTTAAAAATTTAACGATTCCGTAAAGTTTTGCTTTATTTTTCTAAATACTGTATCTATATATATGTATGCTATATTATAAGTTAAGAATTTTTTTCTGTTAATTTTTCTCTAAAATGTTTTTTTAAAATTTCTTTTATTACATTTGTCTATTAAATATCAATATTGGCGTTAACAAATATTTGATAAGAAAAATGTACTATTTTGGTTAAGCATTCCCATAGCAGCCCTTTGAAAGAGTGGTCTTGTAGGTTAAGTCTCCACGACTTCATGACAAACTGCTAGATTGTGGCAATATGGTCAGATCAATCTGAAGCTAGGTTGGCTTCAAGCAGTCATTGTGAAACTTTTTGGTTAGCCATACATAAAAATGGATTAAGTTTAAACTTTTTCCTATTTATTTAATTTTTTTTATTACAAGTCTTTTTTTTCTTCAGTATTTAAAAATAGAACTACGTCAATTTTCCTTATTTTACTATTTTTTTAAACTTTTTGCTTGCTTTCAGCGAATTAAAAAAATTATCAAAGAAGCAATTCACTTGATTGCACAACTTATTAAAGAATATAGACATCTAATTTTGGAGTAATAAATATTGTTAGAATTTTTTAAGTTTTGGAAAAATTTAGATTTTTAGTGTTGACCCCTTGAGTTTTAACTCCTCCTGTACNATATTATAAGTTAAGGATTTTTTTTCTGTTAATTTTTCTCTGAAATGTTTTCAAAATTTCTTTTATTGCATTTGTCTATTAAAAATCAATATTAGCGTTAACAAATATTTGATAAGAAAAATGTACTGTTTTGGTTAAGCATTCCCATAGCAGCCCTTTGTGGGGAAAGAGTGGTCTTGGAGGTTAAGTCTCCACGACTTCATGACAAACTGCTAGATTGTGGCAATATGGTCAGCACTCACGGGCTGCCTTTACTTCCCTGACAAGCTGGTACCTATCAATCTGAAGCTAGGTTGGCTTCAAGCAGTCACTGTGAAACTTTTTGGTTAGCCATACATAAAAATGGATTATGTTTAAACTTTTTCCTATTTATTTAATTTTTTTTATTACAAGTCTTTTTTTTCTTCAGTATTTAAAAATAGAACTACGTCAATTTTCCTTATTTTACTATTTTTTTAAACTTTTTGCTTGCTTTCAGCGAATAAAAAAAATTATCAAAGAAACCATTCACTTGATTGCATAACTTATTAAAGAATATAACATCTAATTTTGGAGTAATAAATATTGTTAGAATTTTTTAAGTTTTGGAAAAATTTAGATTTTTAGTGTTGACCCCTTGAGTTTTAACTCCTCCTGTACTACAGGCATGGTGTTGCCAAGAAAAGGAAAGCTGCAGATATTTTATTTCAAATTGTTATTTTTTCAAAATTTATAATAGGGCTTTTGTGAATATTGTTGCATTTATTACAGTAACTATTTATGACTTACCTAAACTAAAGTCATAATAGAAAAATAATATAATTTGTATTATATTATTTGTATTAAATATTTTCAGCATAATTTGTATTAAATATTTTTTCACATACTGCCTCTTTGAAATGTTTAAGAGATCAAAATAATCTAAAGTGCTTAATCTATATAGTCTATTTTTTAAATGTTGATGAATAGCACTAAAGCAAAATCCTTTAAAAATGAAAACCAAAAGTCTGTATTACTTCACTTTGTTAAAGATTTGTATGTGTTTCACAATTTTTTAAATATTTTTTTTTTCTATTTAGGTCTTGATGACTTGAGCACCAGGTGCCAAGAATATTACAAAATGGGATGCCGCTTCGCTAAATGGAGATGTGTCTTAAAAATTAGAGATCATACTCCTTCTCCTTTATCTATTTTGGAGAATGCCAATGTACTCGCTCGTTATGCCACTGAGTGTCAAAAGGTTGGGCTTTAAATTTTATGGTTATTTATCTTCAAATTTTCTGTGTTTTACAACCTGTGTCATATGAGAGTAATAAGCTTAAAAGCTTATTACTCTTTACTCTTATAGAATATATTAAAATAAAGGATCAGTTTTATTTCACTAATTGAAGATTAACTTGAGTTGGCCACCTTTTGGTTTATTGTACAGAATCTAACTATAAAATTTTGCTGTTTAGTTTTGCTTTATGGCTTTATCTGCTGTTGAGGAAGCATATTACTCATTTTAATCATATACTATCTAGAATAGTTTGTGGTAGTGTTGTTTTCTATTAGATAATAATTTTTGTATCAATTTTAGTGTACAGCTAATGTTTTATATAATGATGTTGTATGATAACATATAACTTAGTTTTTAAGTTTTTAAAAAAAAATTTTTTTTAATAATTTAAAACTTAGCTCATATTTTCCAAATTAGTTACATTTCACGTTTTCAAAATTCAAATATATAAACGGAAAAATGTTTATTAAAAAAAATAAAGCTTGTCCAGAATTTAATTCTGTAATTTATATCCCTAGTAGAGTTTCTACAATTTCAAATTAGTATGTGAATTCTTAGTCAATATTAATTCGGTGCAGTGGAATTGAAGCGTTTCAATTTAAATGGGATCATTAAAAAAGATAATAAAATTACTTTAAATAAATATTAGGATTCATAAAAACATGATTAAATGTTTTTGATCAATCTGCTGCTTGAGACTTTTTAAACAACCCACTTTTAGTGTATGTTAACATAATTTACAATTACACATATAATAAGTTACACATAAGTTACAATTTATAAATAACAGTTTGACTGCCACATCACCCATATTCAGGTGACAGCAAAGTTTATGATCAGGCCACATCACCTGTATTGGGTTGACGCTTATTTCACTACTTGCGAAGGATATTTTTATGTATTTGAAAAGATATTTCACAGGAAGTAACTAAACTATTGGATTGTTATGAAAGTAATACAAGAATGATTTATTAAAAAAATTGAGCCTCTTAAAAGCTTTCCTGTCACTGCTATTTGACTCGCTAAAAAATAAGTTTTCCATTTTTCCTTTCGAAATTTCACCAAATTAGGATAAAGATTTTCAGTTATACTCCTATTTACCTTTCAAAGATTCAATCTGGTTAAGTAAAGTGGCGAGATGAGCAATTGATTCGAAGCAACGAAAACAAATTAACAGATATACTGTGGAAACGGAGCGAGATTTTATTCTGATGACCACTCTCATTATTAAAATATTGGTGGGAGTAGTTGGGAGAATATGCTTTTTACAGCTGTACTCCTGGCTTGAAGGAGATTTTTGTTGTAAACGCGTATGGCAGTCAGTGTGTTAAAACAGAATAAGTGATAAAACACTGTTTAAAGTGAAAGACTAACATCAGATTAACAATTGTTTTGAAATTGCAGGCTGGAATTGTACCTATTGTTGAACCAGAAATCTTGCCCGATGGTGATCATGATCTGGAGCGTTGCCAAAAAGTCACTGAGAAAGTCTTGGCTGCTGTTTACAAAGCTCTAAGTGATCACCACATATACTTAGAAGGCACACTCTTGAAACCTAACATGGTTACCCCTGGTCAGAGTTGCTCAAAGAAATACACTCCCCAAGACATTGCCAAGGCCACAGTAACAGCTTTGCAAAGGACTGTACCTGCTGCTGTTCCAGGTTAGTTTTGTGACCTACCTAGTGATTTAGAAATAATTGTTGAACGAGTAAATTGAATCAAATTTGCATATTACAGGAATAACCTTCTTGTCTGGTGGACAATCTGAGGAAGAAGCCTCTATTCATTTGGATGCCCTAAATAAATACCCTGGAAAGAAACCATGGGCTCTTACATTTAGCTATGGCCGAGCTCTTCAAGCCAGTGCTTTAAAGGCTTGGGCTGGAAAGAAAGACTCTATTAAGGCTGGTCAAGATGAATTCCTCAAGAGAGCAAAGGTATGATTAAATTTTTATTAATTGAAAGCCCCGTGGCAACACGGCGACATTGTCACAGAATGTTACTGAGTTCTTTCAGAAAGATTTTTCATTTGGGAAATAAAACATTTTGGTTTTCTTTTCAGCAGAAATTTTCAAAAGCTTCTAATTTTTTTTTCAGAATTATATTCAAAGTTTTATGCCATTCTTGCACATCAGAGTGGGGGGAAAAAAAGGCTTGTCATTTTTCTATTTTCATTTGAGAATAATGATGTAAAAAGTTTGGTTTTCTTTTCTGCAGTTATTGTTATTCATTTCCACATAGTTTTTAAAATCCAATATTTTTAATCTGATATTATTTATTACAACAGCTGAATCTTGAAATGAAGACACACATTTGTAACCCCCCTTTTTAAGGAGTTCGATTTGGCGTGATTTCGTCCTTGATCTTTCTTTTTTTCGTTAGTTACTGCTATGGATTTCACTATTTTTAATTTCTTTTTTTTTTTTAATTTGATAAAGAAAGAAAAAGGAAATAATGTATTTTCTCTCTACAAAATGCGAGAATATAGCTCGTAATAAGAGAATAAAAAATATTACTTATTCAATTTTAAAAATTACATTTTTTCCGAAAAGTTTTTTTTCTCTCTTTTGAAGTTGACTCTTTTGTTACTTTAAATTAGTAGCATATATATTTGTTATTATTAACAGTATCTTGCAGAAAGATTATAATGCTAGAGAGATTAGTCGCAGACAGCCCGAAAAAATTCTGCCACAGGGATGGAAAGTCTGCTAAAATTAATTGTGATGGTTAGAGGAAAAAGTAAAATTAGTTTTGGCATAGTTCTAACCATAAAATTAATATATAGCTTCCTAATTATTATATCCTAAAATTAATATATCCTTCAAGTGTTTTGGCACTAATAGTTTTAAGTATGAAAAAAGCTGCTTATCTGACTGAACATACAATATGTTAAAGGAAAATAACCTTGAATGCATTTTATTGATAAAATACTAGTTTGAATGTTTTTTTAAATTCATCTTTAAAAAATTCTTAAATTGAAAGATGGTTAGATATTTTTTCTTAATTTCATGTGTTTTAATATTAAATTTGAACTGTTTGACATTTTTCTATTTTTATGGCTGCTTACAAGGTTGTGGAACATGGCTTAATTTTTGCATGTTGATTAGAAGTCTTAATGAATGATTGTGTCAAATTTTTCAACTGTAGAAACTTTTAATCTAAATATTAGTATAATATTGCATGGTAGCTTAGGTGTCATGGTAAGTGTAGAGCCTTCATTGCACTTTTTTTGCTTGTAGATGTAGCTGCTTTAAAACAAATTTTCCTTTTAGGCTAATGGACTTGCATGTCAGGGTAAATACACTCCTGGATCAATTGAAAGCCTGGCTTCCCGAAGTTCCAATTTTGTCCCAACTCATTCTTACTAACCCCTTATTCCTCCTGCACTCGTGCCATGTTTTTATTTGTGCATTTTATATGGTGCTAAATTTATAACTGCTCTCTCTCTTTATGAGTTATAAACTAATCCTTAAAATTCTAAATTTATTAACCCATTCCGATCTACTAATCCTTTTCCCTTTATTTAAAGCCACTCTCTTGCCTTAATTGTTTTCATGGTGCTAAATTTTTTATTACTGTCGCTATAGTTCCTATAGCTAGTTTTAAACTAATCCTAAAAATCTATTTGTGGTGTTTTGTCCCGTTTTATTTCTAATGTGTTTTTTTATGTATCTTTGTACTCTTCTCTTTTGGTGCTATAACGTTAATTAGGCAAACAGTGAAGCCTCTCTTGGAAAATATGGCGGTGGAGTAGCTGGAGCTGCTGCTGGTGAAACCCTCTTCATTAAAGATCATGCATACTAAAAGAAGTTTTATGTTCCTACAATTCAACAATATCTCAAGTTATATCTAATATATTTCAAAGAACTTTATCTGTGTTGTTTCCTTTTCAAATTTATCTATAGAAAGTTTTGTTTAATGTTTTAAAGCCAATTGTTTTATTTCGACCATTTTATTACAATAAAATTGTTTTGCCGGAGAAGCACAGTGTCTTTATTCTAACAATCGTTTGTTCTTGATAGTTTAAACTTTTTGAACAACATTTAATTCATGAAGTATACTAACCTTTAATCTACACAGAATAAGTTTCTTTCATGTTGTTCGAAATAGCTCCATTTTTAAATTCAGTACGTTAAATTTAAACTAGTTAGGAAATGTTTAAAAATAAAGTATAGAAGCAAAGTGATTTTCTAAGATTTCATAAGTTTTATGGGATGTTTAGTTTTAAGCTCTTATTTTCAGGCCTTGTTCTGAATATTTTTTTTAGTCCATTACATTATTTTATGTATATAAAAAATCTAGTTATTTTTTTTAGTGACATTAAGCCAATGCCAGATTTACATTTAGAAATGGAAAGGTCTAAAGCTAAACTAAAAGAATAATTTGCTGTACTTGTGTACGATAAATTTTATAGCAAAGACTTAGAATATATTTTTAATTTAAGAATTTTGTTTTTGCTGGAACCTTAGAACAGAAAGTTTTAATTTTATTAATGGAGCAGAAAATACTTTAAGATATAAATATCAAAAAGAAAATTATATTTTCATTGGAAAAAAGAACAGTATCAATTGGGGTAACATTCTCTCCTACATAACATTGATTAAAATTTGTAATCAACTTTACTTGTTTTATCAAATATATTATTAATCTTTTTTTTTTTTTTAATCTGATGACTGATTAATAATAGTGACACTAAGAAACTCCACCCTTCAAAATTAGTTACTGCTTTTGCTTTAAGAGGCCTTCTCTACTGTGGAAAGATTGGAGACAGAGTGAAAATTGTCATTCAATTTGTCAGTATCTTTCGATTCATGCAAAATAAAAGGCTGACACTCAATAACCATATCAGATATAAAGCGTAAATTTTTTTAACATTCTAATTTTCTGACAAAATTATACAAATATAATTCTGCGATTTTTTAAGGGTAATTGAATAGTATAAATTTGTCAGTTTTTAGAATTTTGATATCTTTCGTTTTCATGTTTAAGTTAAAAGAATTTTTTAGTGTGATTGAAATCAGTTTTCATTAGTTCAGGGCTGATTGTGCTCCGGATTTCCGTTAACAGTGATCCCGAAGTTTCCGGAGATGGTAGGTCTAGACGTTTCAAAAAATCATTAATCACAGAAGTTTCCGGAAATCAAAGGTGGAACTTAAAAACACAGTTTATTTTATTTGTTTGTAAAGGAGAGCCAGATACTTTATAAGCTGATATTCATGATTAATTTTTTATCAGTAAATAGTTATAATCATAAACTTAAGATAGAAAGACATATTTTTAAATTTCAATTACTTCTCCAGGTCATCATAGGTATGTGTAAATGGAATATATTTTAAGTAAACTAAGAAATATTGAGAAAAAGGAAAAAAAACCTTGTTTAAATTTTTTTCAATTTAATATGTTGTTTTTTTTTTAACTCAAGATATTTTCCGGAATTTTGACTTGGGCTCAAAATCACCCCTATTAGTTTAAACTGTAGTAAAATTAGATTTAAAAAAAATCTAAACTGAGAAACACTAAGTTTTAAATCAGATATTCAAAACCACATCACATTTTAATTCATAAATTTAGGAATGAAAAAAAGTTTATAGAAGTAATATAAATAATCAGGCACCCCCCTTTATTTTCTACATTTTTGTAAGGTTTTGTGCTGTCTTATGACATATTATCCAAAATTTTGATAAGTACAAAGATGGAGAAACCTCTTAAAATGAATGACTCATGTTGAATGTAAATTGTTATATTTTTAATTCTGAGTTCCCAATAAGTTTAGAATAATCCTGTCCTGGCTCGCACCGACTAAAATTATCCTCGATGATAATGGATTGAAAGTAACCATGGGAGGTTTCAGTGGTGTTCCTCTCCATTTAACGGCAATTTGGGTTGGTTCCTTCAAGGCAAACTTGATCCAGGAATCCTTTTGTTTTCTGGATTAGGTTCAAAATTACAAGGCTACGGAATATAACATTAAAAGTCGTAAGCTCAAAGTTGGATCTGCTCAATGATGGTTATAGAACAATCTTATGTGTAATGTTGCAAGTATGAACCATGTATATAGCAGGAGAGCAGTCCTGAAGTTTGAACTATCGAATTTAGTAATTTTTATAGCATTATTAATTTTTCTATGTTTGATCGAAAATACAATCTTTTGTCAGGAAAGTGGTTCTGAATTCAAAAAAATTTGAATTTTAGGACAAAAAGAGGTTAAAGTAAACAGACTCTGAAATCCTCAAATGCCACGTTTTTTTTTTTTTTTTTTGTGCCCGCTAGTATCAAAAACTACAATAGTTTTTTTTCCGTGCTTGTAGTAAATTTTTTATTTTAAAATTTTTCTCATTCTTTTTGTATATACAATGACATTTAATGAGTAAACAAATTTAATAACATTCTTGTTCTTGAACAAGAATTTTTAAAGCTTATCACTGAGTACTTAGCATTAAAAAGTGACAATTATCAGTCGAAAGATTCAGATAAGAGATTGACTTCTCCCCTAAGTTTAATTAGTTTCAATGCTAAATACAGGGTATTGAACAAAATTTGTCGTGATTTTAACTATTTTTTTAAAAAAAATCATTGATTTAGGTTGCCGAAAAATCTAATGTTTAAAATGTTATCCCCCCCTCTATTTCATGGTGTTCCGAATAACTGGATTTGTAACAAAAACAAACACACTAAGTCATATTTTATTAAATTATAAAATGTTTTTATCATGTTCTTAAAAAATTAAGGTGCCCTTCCAAAAAATGAAAGAAAAAAGATTTCTAGAGCGAATTATCTTAACTCCTGTGATTTCAGAATTTTTGTTATTTTTATTTTATCAATTTAAGATTCTAGCTGAAACAAGGCGAATTTTTTTATAATATAAGAAGAAAAAATTTTGCATTTTTTTCAGCTATTTTATTGCTTTAACTCTTTCTTGACTCTGTTTTTCAAATCTAAAATCTATAAATATGAAAATGCACAGTATAACAGTTTTGGTTATACCTATCACTTCAATTAATGTTACTATACTTTTTTAAATTTGTTGGAGAAAATAGTAACTTCGTTAAGTCATGAAAAATTCTTGAAATTAGTCATGAATTTGAAAATCTAAAATGTAGCAGATATCCTGTAAATATTTATAAGATTTTTGTAAAAAAATTAGCGAATATAATTTTTATTTCAAAAACACTTTTGAAGAATATTTAAGATTTCTTAAATAACATTTTTCCTTATGATCAAAAAGGCGTGATACTATCCTAGAGTTCCAGGTTTTTTGCATTATTCTTCAGGAACTAAAAACTAGAAGCAGGGTCTGTTATTTTCCTGCGAATATTCGCGGAATTCAGCGTCGCTGAAGACCATTGGTTTACGAACTTCCGCGAATTAAAAACTTAAAATCCGACGAGAGTTTAAAAGTTTTGTTAAATCCTGTTAGCGAGGCGTTTACATACATTTGATTCCTCTGCCAATTCGAATTGTTTTGGTTACCCAGAATCTGCTAAAATGGCGATTCTTACTCAAGCGATTTTAATATGAAACATCGCGTTTTATATTCACCCAATTTAAAGGTAATGCGTTGTGATTCGTATTCAAGTGATTTAAAAATCGTACATTGCTATTCTTATTCACGGGTTTAAAAAATCTAATATCGTGGTTTGTATTTAAAATCCAATGTCGCGATTCATATCCACGTGGTTGTAACATCAAACACAGATTTTCATATTTATATGTGATTTAAAAATTACACAATGGGATTCTTATTCACGTGATCTAAAGATTCAATATAGCAATCTCAGGGCTTCAAGTGGCAAAACATGGTTTTGGAGCATCTTTGGAGCAACAAAAAAGCAATTTTGGAGCAGCAAAACAAAGATTTGNAATGTCGCGATTCATATCCACGTGGTTGTAACATCAAACACCGATTTTCATATTTATATGTGATTTAAAAATTACACATTGGGATTCTTATTCACGTGATCTAAAGATTCAATATAGCAATCTGTACTTTCGCGTTTTTAAAATCCAATATCGCGATTCTTGTAAGAAGTAATTTAATTATAAATAACAGTTCAAAAAATTATGTTAAATGTGTAACATGATAGGTGTATAAATTGATTTAGATTTTTCGAGCATCTAATTTTCAGTGTTTTTCAGCTGTGTCACAATTACCCTTGTTTCAGAACTTGATAAACATATTCTTTCTTCAACAGGCTTGAATTTTTGACTTCCAAGAATAGGGGAGGTAGCCACAATTTAGAAAATTTTCCTAATAGTTTAGACAGGAGAGCAGTGTTGAAACATTTCACACTTAAATATTATAATTTCACATTCTGCAATATCACAAGATACTTTTTAAGAGCATCATTTAATGATTTTTGTCCACATTAAATTTGTCCACCCAAAGATAACAAACTTGTAAAAAATAATTTTATTTCCTGAGGCTTAGGAAAATTTTATACTATTCTAAATTACACAATTTTAAGTGATGAAATACAAAATCAGTTTAATATTTTTTATTTCTCAACAACTAATCGAATGATTTTGTTTTAAGTTTGCTATTTAGGCACGTATTTGTGCTAGAAAATATAGTCCAAGAATTCAATAGCTGAAGGGAAATAACTGTAAATTGTGTAAAGCATGCTACTAAGATTGGCTTGTAATATTGTTTAAAATTGTTCAAAACTGAGATAAACTTTAACCAAAAAGTTTTTTCTTAGTAGTTTTTCTTCGAGAAAAAGACAAAATGGATTATATTAAACATATCAACAATGTAATAAAAATGAAGTTTGATATGCTTTTGCAGTACTAAAAGCACGGATATTTTGTAATTACATTTCTCGAAGCTAAGTGCTAATCAGTTTTCATTTTTAAATAACCTATTTTCGTTTTCAATTAGTGTTTCATAAAAAACTGGTATATTAATAATTGAGTAAGAATAGAACATTAAACAGACTAGCTTCGATAACTTAACTTTCACTAGTTCAATGAGTGAAATATCACACTCATACCAGTAAGTATACTTAGAAAAAGGAAAATATTACTCTTTTTAATAAGCAAATCATATGTGTTTGTTGCATGTACAGCACTTGATCAATACAAAAAATGAAACCTTAAATGCAAGATAATAAAAGAAGCTGCTTTTTAAAAAAGATAACATTTATTCAAAACAACACAAAAATTAAAAAAAAATATGTACAGTTCTTTACATTAATCAGATCCTGATTCATTTCCCGATCCTGAAGCAGCATCATCTATCTCCATCTGAAAAAAAATAAAGAACCAGTTAGATATTTCAAAATGAGATTATATAGAATTAAATAAAATATAAAATGAACAAAAATTTCCTTTTAATTTTTATTAGTTTATTATGAAATAGCTAAAAAAAAGAAAGGAAAAGTTTTTAAGCCATTCTCGTTAACAATAAGTTCAAAGCATGCTTGAAAGCAATAGAATGTAATCATTTTGTTATTTAAGTTCTGTTCATGGAATGGGTTCAGCATATGCAAATGAAGTGCAATTACTTAAGCATTTCCGCAACTAAACTAGAAAAGAAAATTTCAAGTCTAAAAAAATTAGAATTTCAACATTCTAATAACAATCATCAGATTTATCTAATATTATATTAGTACCATATTTTGTTTTCGAAATTACTGTTAAAATTAACCTTTAGGATAAATGTCAATTTAAGCTACCCTTTTTTTACTAGCATATTTACCATTACTTGCTTTGTAATCTAATAAGTATATTATAAATTCATTTTCAATAAATATTTTTATTATCTGCACTTAAACAAATGATACATTATACATTTCTAACTCTTTAATATTTCAACAGAATCAGAATATTCTCCACATTTTTATAATTACCACATCATGTTAATGTTGTGTTCCCAACACTGTACATTGTAGTTTGTTTTGGACCGCTACCTGAAAATGTTTGTGCAGTCCCGATTTAAAGAATAGAATTGAAGTACTTTTTTAAAGATGATGAAATCATAATGAAACTTGGAATTAATAACTTATTTGGTTACCAGTATGTGTAAAACCTTATCAAAATCAAACCTATTTTAACTTTTAACAATCTGAAAGGTATTAAAAAAAAAAATCCACTACCAGATAAACATACATGATCAACTTAACAGTTTGACATCAAACCTAAGTTTAACATTAATACTAGCATTCAATAATAGATAACACTACCCCTACATTACATCATTTTTGTTTATTTTTATGTAAACTGACTTCCTGAATATAAATATTATTGCTGTTTCCACCATAATAGGTGAGGGGAGTCATTGCAATAATATACATTATAAAATGACTATACATTATAAAATATTTTTAGTTTTAAATTAGTATTTAAAATGATTATTTCCTTTTAAATCAATTTAATGGAGGCAAAATTAAATAAGTTAGACATGGCAGGCATACCCATAGACTGGATAAAATTACACATAATTTATCAATAGTATCAAGGTTTTAAAATGTTTTTGTTTGTAAAGCAGTGTAATCAAGAGTAACAAAATTTAAAACGTAGATTGATAATTAAGAAATGTAATCTCACGTATAAGCAGAGTAAAATAAATAGTATATTGCTACATAAGCAGATTCGTATTCAGCAAAATTAAATTTGAAAATTTAAAAGTAACACAGATTCATATTCACACAATTTAAATGAATAAATAAAACAGCACAGTGATATTTTTAATAAAATGTTAATATTTTGTGGGTATAGAGTTCCATAAAAATGAAACATTTTTGAAAAGAAAATTCTGATTTTCAAACAGATTTTGCCAAAATTAGACGGTGATAAAAGAGTTGAAACTAGTTACAAGAGTTAACCAATGAGCACAGAAAGTTTTTTAATTGAGGATTTGCATTTACAAATAGCATTTAATTTAACCAAGTCTGATGAGATAACGTGTTGTAGCACTAAAAATCGAGTGATAAAGAGTTCTCATGTCTAAGTGGCGTAAAGAAAGTACAAGTATTGTTATGCAAACATTAAAATTTAAAATATTGACCTTATCATCACTATCTGAATCAGCTTTTTTCTTCTTTGGTGATTTACTTTCATCATCACTGCTATCAGAACTGCTGCTGACGTACTCTTTACTCTTGAAAGAACCTGGGGATTTCGCAGGGGATTTGACAGTTGATGATTTCCTATCCTTATCTTTCTTAGGCGTCCTTTGTTCTTCTTTCGCCTTACTACTATAATTGAAGAGAATGTCAATTAACAAGCAACAAGAAAAAGCAATACAGTTTAACAATTTATACGTTAAGCATGTTGAATATTAGTGATTAAGACTGCATTACAGTAGAACCCAGATTATCTGGGACCCTCAAGATTAAGGGTATGTCGGAAAATCTAAATAGTCAAATCAACCCATCTCAATTAGTTAAATATAGAAATCTGTTGGGTTTTGTTAAGTCAGATTCTTTCTAAAGTATTAGAAAATTTCCACATTAAAGACTACTTTCTGCAATAGATATCTTGTTATAAAAACTTTAAATTAGAAATCTTTCTTTCTTTGATGTATAAATTTTTTTTTCCAACACAGAAAGTAAACAAAATTTTAGAATGAACAACTGTTACAAATCAAAAAGATTTTACTGTATATACATTAGATAATTTTATGTAAAGATAAAATATAATAGACACATAATTTTCAACCATTTATTTTTAACTAGATATTTTAAAATTTATATAATATTGCTTCTACTAAGAATCTCTAATGATTTCAAATAAAATTTTCTATTATAACAGTGTGCACCCGTAAACAAAAATATAACTTCAAAAACAGTCTATGTAAGTAGCTACTTAAAATAAGGATATATATATATATTTTTTAAATAATACTCCCTTCACGCCAAAGTAGTTATTACATTTAGGTAAAAATTTTCGTCCCAAATTAGTTGCTAAATTTGGAGTAGGTGGAGTCATTTAACATTTCAAGTAGCAATTTGGTAGGTCGACTCCAGTAAAATTATACTACTTATGAATTTACAATTCATAAGCTAGAAGATAGTTTTATGTGATTACTGGTGGAAGAGTTCCTACTAAATGAAGAGTGACTAAAGAATGTTCAAAGCCTAGACTTTTTTAAACAAATTTGGTGCTGATTTTGGAAAGGAATAATTGGTAAGTAAATATTGTTGATTGATAGAATAATACCCTGAAAAAGGTTCTAACAAAATCATAAAATAATCAATACAAAAGTATTCAAATGTATCAACTAATTTGGAGTCGAGTAAGTCATCCACACAACATGTAAAAAGAATTGGTAGCAGAATATATGAAACATTCAGTGCACTTACCCACCACCACTAGCCTTATACTCGGCCATTGCTTTTTCATATTTTTTCTTTCCCTCTGCAGCTTGCTCTTCCCATTTCTAAAATAATAAAATACAAAAATAAATATTTTTGTCTGTTTGGACAACTAAGGACACTTACAGCTACAAAATTCAAATGAGATAGTTTTCAACTAGATGAAAATTTAAAAAATCAAGATTGATTTCAGGTAAATGGTGTTGATAAAGTGATTTTTTAAAAGCACTTTTTTTTAATTTCACTTAATTTTTTTATGCAATTCTTCAGATCTCTTAAATGACCTTTATTAGTTTCACTAATTTTTATATACTGCACAATTAATTTGCTTTACCGAGCACCACATCTTTTCTGTTTTAGAGTTTTCTGTAAATTTTTTTTGCTAACTAAATGGATAGACTTGCATTTATTTATAAAATCTACAGTAATATGAAACTAAGCTCTCTCTGGAATGCTCCTACGGACAAAAGAACCACTGTGAAGTCACAAGAAATAATGGGTGAATATTTGTATTGTGTTTATTCAAAGTGAAATGCATAATTTTGTAAGGATAACGATGTTCCCCAGGTTTAACTAAAATGTAATATTTATAGAGTATAGAGAGACAAAATAAATTTTCTGTTAATTCAAAATTTCTTTCTCTCCACGAGAACTTTATATTCATACTTTACCAAACACGCATTTAAAGAAAGTAAACAGAGTTTTTACGTTGATTAATAGAGCAAATAAAAAAATTAAAATTACAAAAAATTGTGATCGTCAATATTTGAGTTTTATTGGTTGAAAACTATAGTTAAAATAATATAATACTTGAGTGAAGTTGCAAACATGGCTAAATATTTAGCAAAGTGCGGAAAAACCAATATGAATCAAAAGGAAGAAATATTTTCAATATTTTAAATTACACTAGAAAAAATTACTTCATACCAGAAGCTTTTGTTATAAATTTACTTTTTTAAGACAATATTTTAGCTATAGCAAATAAATCTCAGATGAAAAGAAGAATATGATATCATAACTTATTTATTTGATTTCAAGAATAAACAGACATTAATACTAACACTTTTATCGGTAACTTCTTTCCACATTTCACCAGCTTTCTTAGTTATTTCTGTGATGCTTATACCAGGATTCTCTTTTTTAATTTTCTCCCTATTATCAGCAAGGTAAAGGAAGTATGCTGAAGCAGGACGTTTAGGTTTATTTTCATCCTTTTCTTTCTTAGGCTTTCTCTTGCGCATACCAGGTTCTTTCTAAAAACATAAGGATCAGATATTAATTGCAACAAAATTATTAAATATATAACTGACATGTGTAATAATGATTCAAGTTATAATTTTTTTTTTTACACTAGCACATTCCCTAATTATTTATATAATGAAATGTGCTATATAAAGAGAAACATTCATGATATAGTGCTGAAAAATAATTAATACAAATCATTGCACTAACCAAACAAGCACATTGTAAATAACACACAGTCTAGAAGGCAAACTGATTTTATGTTTAAAAGTAACTGGGATTAAGTCTTTTCCCACTGAAAACTTTTAAAAAACATCAAATTTAAAGTCTAAGAATATATAAAGTATAGCATGTTTTTCATCAAAATAAGTCCAGTATTTGTGAAATATTAGGGAATATTGCACTAATTTTATGCAGTTACGATATAGCGACCTCATGTTTTAGCATCTGTTTTCGTCTGGACCACATGTAACAAGCACCAACAGTAGTATATATATTTTTTTAACATTGTTTTTGAAAATTAAAATTTTTTTTTTTTAACTGTGTTCTGCAGGCAGACGCAGGGACCAACAAAACTACTATGACCTTAACTTTACAGCTCCTATGTTCATATTCATTCATTCAAAAAATCTCTTTAAAATAAAATTAATATATATATATACATACTGTCAAGACATTTTGTATTTCTCAGTTTTTCAAAGTCTTTTCACGATAGACGTTTTCCTTTTTCAGATTAGCTGAGATTGCTTAGGCGACATATTTTTATTTGTAAGAATTAGCTGAATTTGAGCCCACAAAGCACAGTATTCAATAAAATAAAAAATCAATGATTGAACAAACATTCTCATAGGTTTATCATGCTTCACGTGATTGAAATCACAAATATTTGTTGACTTTTCAGATCTTATGCACTTGGAAATATAGCATGTAAATATTTGATTTAGTTGTACAATAAATTGATATAGACAGGCTTTTTCAGTGTTGTTAAAAAAAAAAAGGCTATAGAAAGAAGCTCCATGTAGAAGCGAACCATAGAATAAACCTTTTAAAAACAGAGTCTGGTTGTTTTAGTTTTAAGGGAAACTGCACACATCACATTAAGCCATAAGTATTAACAGAAAATATTATAATAAAATATATTTTTAAAATGTTTTAATTCACTAAACTGCAATTTGTTTATTTCATGTTATTTGTTCAATAAATGTTCATCTCTATTAATGCATAAAATTAAAAAAAATAAAAATAAGAACAAGCATATTTTTACTAATATTCAATATACCTCAGTGTGTGTGACATTGAACTATAAATTAAGTCAAAAGGAAAATGCATAACATCGATCTTTGAGATGGCAGTAGAAAGCATTTTGTTGTTCACAAAAAGAGTCCTAGACTACATAATTTTAATAACTCAGATATAAATTTTTTTATTAACAAAACATTTTCTCATAGTATTTTAAACGCTATCTTTTTTCTGGAAATGTTTTTTTTTTCTTACTTGTAATATTGAGATCTTAAGACTGAAAATTTAGTCTTGCTCTTACTGTCAATTAACTGAATTTCACTGAACATTTTCACCTACGACCAAGTGTGTTTTATGAAAAAGCAACCATATAACACAAAACTGCAATTAAAAATAGTTGGAAAGGATAGGGGAACAGCAGAGATCAGTGCTGCAATGTGTGAGAAAAACCGAAATTGTTGTAAAATTTAAGCAGGGACATATGCTGGAAGGTTAAATAAAAAACTATCTTCACTGGATTCTTTACTTACAAAATTTAGATACACGGGGTAATTGTGGGCCCAACTCAAAATCCTAAAAATTTCTTGAGTAAAATCATTCAAAAAATTCATATCTTTTTGAATTTAAATCATTGAAAATTTCAAACATGATATTCTGAATAAATTATACGCAGCAAAATTTAAATGAATAATTATGTGTAAGTTTTTATTTATTGTGTAAGTTTACTTTTTCCTCTAATAATTATGTGTAAGTTTACTTTTATCTCTAATCACATTTATTATTCTACCTGAAAAAAATATTTACTAATGAAAGAGATGCCAAGTATAAATTCTAGTTCTAATATTTTTAAATAAAATGTACAGTACGGAACCCGTTATCCGGATATCAGAGAACCGGAAAACCAAAAAACCGGAACGAATTTCAATACATTTTCCCGCCATTAAAAAAAAAAAAATTTTTTTTTCCTCATAGGATTTTAGGATTTTTCGTTCTTTTTTGAAAGATGTTTACCTTACCATCATTTTGAGAATAATCATTAGTGTATTACTTTATCGTTTTTTCTTCTTTTTAAGATTATTTCCAAATATTTTTTTTTTTAGCTCGGTTTAACAATAAAAAAAAACGGCTTTTTGTAGCGATTCAGTAAACCGGAAAAATCAGTTATCCGGAATAGCGATGGTCCCGATCGTTCCGGATAATCGGTTCCCTACTGTACAAGGATTTTTATCTATAAATGTGATTGATGATTCCTTGAAACTTCTGGACTTTTGATCTCCGGAAACTTTCGGATCGCGGTTAGCGAAAAATCCGGATTTTTCCGGAGCACAATCACCCATGGATATATTTACATACTTTTAAGCTTTTTTTTCACAGCTATCTGATGCAGCTTAAAACAAAACAATCCACCAATAACCATTCACTTTCAAACACTATTTTGAGTATACATACCACAGTTTTAGCACTTCTTGACTTTTTGGCTTCCTTTGGCTTTTTTTCTTTAGGTTTTTTCTCAGGTTTGGGTTTATCAGACTCGTCACCCGAATCTGAACCTTCATAGTCCTCATCACTATCGGAACTCGTTGGAGGATTGCTGTCATACCTAAACAGAAATTTAAAAAAAAATTAATATCATTTTAATAAAAAAAAAAAAGACAAAAACTGTCTACATCATAAAATTCCCTCAAAATTTCCTCCTTAAGAAATAAAATGTACATTTATTTCTTTATTTCAAATAGTTACTATTTACGTAAAGAGCCTGTTACTTGCTCTCCAATGCTGGTAAAATAAGATCATCATGGTAGATGAGGTTTGGATCATTTACAGGAACTATCAACCTTCTGACAGCCACCCATGACCTGAATCAGCTATACAGAAAGATTGCATACTGCAGCAAACTAAGCAGAGTTACTTTCAATGTGAAATCAATATATAAGGCCCTATAACTGAGATAGGGACCATATTCAGGATATCTGTTATATTTGAGATTTTCAAATTCATGGCTTAACGAAGTTATTATTTTCTCTGACAAAACCGCTACAATAAATTTAAAAAAGCATTATAATAACATCAATTGAAATGATAGGTATAACCAAAACTGTTATACTCTGCATCTCCATATTTAGAGATTTTTTTTTAAAAAAAAAAAGAGTAAAGAAAGAGTTGAAGCAATCTAGCATAGCTGAAAAAAATACTAATGCAACTAATTTTATCTTCTTTTTTTCTGCAGAATTATATTCTCATGATACTTTTCTTGTTCATCAGAAAAGAAATATATACTCCTGATTTTTCTGTTCTCATTTCGGAATAAAAAAAATTCGCCAATGACTGGCTCGCTGCAGCTAGAATTTTAAAAGATAATTCGCTCTAGAAATGATGTTTTTTCTTTCCTTTTTGTAAGCTTCATGTTCAAGAAAAATTTCAGTTAAAAATTACCAGAAATTCTGAAGACAATTGACCACAACTCAATACAATCTTATTTTTGAACAACAGTGAAAATTAATCTATACCATAGGTGGGGAACCTGCGGCCTCCGCGAGGTTCTTGTGCGGTTCTTTGCCACCTAGTACAAAATGGTAGAGTTCGTTTCAAAAAACAACTATTGTACATCAACGCCATGACAGTTGTGCGAAAAATCCCGCCAAAGACTGAAAATTCCACAATGTATATGTAATTTACATATCTAAAAGAAACGAATAATGTTCTACGTAATATTTATTTGAAAATAAATTAAAATTACAAAATACTATTTACAAAATTTGTTGGTTTCAGATCTCCCATTTGAGTGTCACACCTTGCTTTGGCTTCTCTGACTCGCATCTCTCAACGCTTCCCTGTTGCGATCTTCAGCAAACTGTAGTTAACAGTGCGTGCTTATAACAGTTACACGGCTTATAACAGTTGTTAAAGATATTATTTGATATTCGTTTTTTTATCCATCATGTCAAATAGTAAGAGAAGAAAATTAGGTGATGAAAACAGAACATTTAATGTAGAATGGGAGTTAGATTTTTTCTTTACTGCTGAGAAAGATAAAATGATGTGTTTGTTGTGCAATACAGTTTTAAATACTTTAAAAAAAGCGAATGCAAATAAACACTATTTGACTCATAAAGAACATAAATATTTCGCTTTAGAAGGTGAATCACGAAAAGCTGCACTTCAAAAGTTGAAAAATGAGAAGCATCATCAGCAGGCATCTTTTAGTGCCTTTGTAAATCAAAATTCCGCTGCAGTTGCTGTTACGTATAAAATAGCACATATACTTGGAAAAAGGGGCAAACCATTTAGTGACATTGAAATAATTAAAGAATGTATTGTTGAAGCAGTGAGTATGTTAGATCCAAGAAATGTCGACAAATACAAACAATTACCTCTTTCAAGAAGAACTGTAACAGATCGACAGCACGAATTAGCGCAAAATGTAACAGAGCAACTTCATACAATTATACAAAATGAAGATGTTTATTTTTCAATTGCTTTAGATGAAAGCACTGATAAAACAGATTCGGCACAAGTTTTATATTTTATTCGTGCTATAACTAAAGATTTTCAATGTTACGAAGAACTACTTGCGTTGGGTACACTAACTGGAAGAACTCGCGGAGCCGATATTTTCGAAAACTTCAAAGAAGTATGTAATAAATTACAATTGAATGTCAGTAATTTAGTCAGTGTCTGCACCGATGGCGCACCTTCCATGAGAGGCAAAAAAGAAGGATTCGTTGCTTTGTTAAAAAAGGAAAACTTAAACTTGAAAAAATTGATATCATTTCACTGCATTTTGCATCAGCAAAATCTTTGCGCAAAATCTACCATTTTGCAAGACACTCTGGATAGAACCATTGCCATTGTCAACTATATTCGCGTAAATGCAATGCGTCATCGTGAATTTCGGCAGATGCTCTCTTTAGATGAGGAAACGTATAGTGTTGACCTACCATACTACTGCAAGGTTCGCTGGCTATCAACAGGTCAGGTTTTGATAAAAGTTTTGTCTTTACGACGACAAATTTTAAACTTTTATCAAGAACAAGGAAAACAATGTGATCTATCAGATGAAGTATTTCTCAGAAACCTTGCATTTTTGTCTGATATGATGACAAAACAAAACAATTTAAATATTTGCCTGCAAGGTGAAACGAGGTATATTTATGAAATGTGGCAAAAGATCCAAGCGTTTAGAAAAAAATTATCATTTTTCAAAACATTGCTTTGTCGATCGGAAATATCTGCACAACACTTCCCGGAGCTAGCTAAAATGTTAAATGAGCAGAACTGTGAAAATAAAATATTCGATGAATATGTAGGTGTCTTGGATTGTTTAATAGAAGAGTATACTAAAAGATTTTCTGATTTTGACGAGCACACTCCTGCTATGAAACTGGCATTTGAACCACATTTAATAGATATATCCGAGGCTCCTGCAGAACTACAAATGGAGTTAATTGATTTAGGGGAAGATAGTATCATCAAATCCCTTTTTAACGCTAAAAAGGATCCCATAGAAATCTGGAAAAATGCTGTTGAATATCCATGCCTTCGAGAACATGCTCGCCGTTTACTTTCCTGCTTCGGAAGTACCTACTGTTGCGAGACAACATTTTCTCTCATGTCAAAAATAAAAACAAATTTAAGAACGCAAATTACAGATGCACATTTAGAGGATCAATTAAAGCTGTGTGTTACGAAGCTTGATCCAAATATACAATTACTGTCAAACAAAAAACAAAGCCAAATAAGTCACTAACTTAGTGAATAAAAAAATATTTTTTATTGTATTTTTTTATAATATTTTTATATTATTTTATATGTATATTATATTAAAAATTTTGTAGTATTATATTTTATTTTTTCTATATAATGCAATAAATTGTTAAATCTATAGAAAAATTATAATAATTTCACAAAAGTCACTTTCTTAGGTCAATCAGCTTATGCGGCCTCTCTTATTGCTGCCTAATTTAAATGTGGCTTCTAATGGTAAAAAGGTTCCCCACCTCTGCTCTATACCTTCTGAATAAGTTGACAAATATATTCCTTAAACTGTGGGTCTTGACCCTAACTGAGGCTACAGCAGGGGCTGGTAAAAATGTTAGTAATTTTGATATTTCTTAAAACCTATAATAATTTTACAATTACCAAATATTTTTACACAATGAATCTGAAAATAAATAAAGATGACACAATAGAGACCAAGAAGAAATGAAAAAATTTTTGATGTAACTTCGTTGTGTAATATTTTACCTCTTTAACTCGTTGATCTATATTATCTCAGACTCGTTGATCTATATTTTAAAACTAGACTTAAAACTGCAATAGTATATTACAGCACAAATAAAGAAACCCATAGCTTCACTCATGCACGTGTCGGAACTGCACAAAGCTTAACTTATGGGGACTCACAAAATTTCGGATGGAGTCCCCTCACTAAGTTCAAGAAACCATGACTTAAATGATTGAATATTATGTACATACTCTTCAGCAACTTCACTCCCACTTTCTTCTGGTGCAAAGGACTCGTCAGATGATTCTTCATCCGTAGAACCACCTCCTTCTTCTCTTTCACGGCCTTCTGCTTTGACCCTTTGCAAGTATGCATCTGGTTCATCTTCAACATCAGAATCAACCAACTCCTCATTATATACAGGTTTCTCTTTAGTAGTCTGAAAATTTAATTAGTGTTAAAGTTTAGACAAAAAAAATAATAAATTAAATATGCATAAGATTGGACAGATAATTTCAGTCTCACAATTGAAATTAAGCAATTTTAAAGTATTTCTCGTAGTACACATTAAAATTTGATACATATTGAATTGATTTTGATCTGGTAGAAAATTGAACAAATAAATGCACAGTCAATGCCAATACGAGATTCCTTAACCCTTTGATGGATAGAACGAGTTCAGCTCGCAATCGAATCGTGCTTTGCGCGCAAACGAGTTCCGCACGGGAGCAAGATTTAAACCGAAATGGTTAGAAACGAGCACAACCTGCGTAGTGAAATTTCCCCCCAATGCCCACTGACAAGTTGAGCTCGTTCGCCATTGTTATTCAGCATTGATAATGTTACAAACGAATCCTACTCGCGAAATTTAGTTAGTTTTACTGTCTACAGATGGCAGTATGGGTTCCATGAATGTCTTTCCCTAATGAAGGGGGAATTTTTTTTAAAAAACTTAGTTCTTTTTATGCGTATTTTGGCACAAATTTATTTAGGGTGTTTGTAAAGTCAAATGGTTGAAAAGCAAAAGTTAGATATTTATGATGATGATTAAGATTGTTAAAGATTTTTATTTAGTTACTGTATTAAAATGCTTCATAAAGTTTTACATTAGTTGTATTTATTTAGTCCTTTCAATTTAATATTTGCCTCATATTTATAATTAACTATTATTATTTATATAATTGATTATAATCATTTATAATTCGCAATTTAAGAATTATTTTAAAGGACGTTTTTTAATTTAAAGTTAAGTTTAGTAATTTTTAAAACGCGAGAGGCGAGCTATCTACTAGCTATTCTAGTAAGAACAGTGGGGGAAAAGAGCTGCCACTTTCGACAACTGTTTACTTGCAATACTGTGCGAACTAAGTGAACAAAAACTTCTCATTTCCCTAACCGTCAAAGGGTTAATTTGATGGTCCATTTGGACATGTGGCCACATGGATCTTATAAAGGTGTGTTAGAATTAATTTGCTAACTTAGTACTTTATCAGAAAAAAAAATTTTTTTTTTTAGTTAATTACAAGATCTTATTTTTTTAAAGATCTTTAAGATCTTATTTTTTTAAAGATCTTATTAAAGATCTTATTAAAAAAAAAGAGATCAGAAATAGTTTGTAGTAATCGTTTAGAAAAATAACTGACTTTTAAACATTATTAAGAAATAGATATTTCTTGTTTACACAAGCTAATTTATTATACGAAATCATTTTTTGTGATTTTTTCTTTCAAATATAATTTTTTTTATACTTTAATTAAGAGATGTTAGAAATATACCAAATATTTGTGATACTATAAAATGTCTTAGTTTTTTTTAAAGTTCCTAAAAAAAGTAATACACCTCAAAGCAATGAGCTCCACCAATCAGATTCAAAAAAATTAGTTAGGTTACTTTTTCTTCTTTGTGGAACTAATGTTAAAAATAATTGCAAGGAATAACCAAAAAGAACTGGTTTTTGGTATAACACTACTCACTACATTTTTTTCTTTTAAAGCAGCATGTTTCTCTGCAAATGGGTTTCCTGCATTGTAGTGCTTTAGTTCTGACTACTCAACGAGCAACCAATTTAATTGTTTGTCACAATAACACACTCACATTAAAGTAGGGATACACAACCTTTTTAAGTAAAGGGCCAATTGCACAGCAGATTGACCAATAAATGGCCAGATGTCCAAGTATTAGCCAGACATGATTATAGTAATTTAGCTGGGCACAGTTGTAGTAACTTTTATATAAATATCAATTTTCTTTTACCCAAAATTCTTTTTAACAGTAAACTTAGTAAAATTAATACATAAAATTAAAGAATGTGAAACAATTGTATAAAAAAATATTCCTCTCCAATTAAAAAAAAATGACGAAATAAAAACAATAGGGAAATAACTTATTTTATCAAATTACATAAGCCCAATTAAACATATATTCTAACAATAAAAAAAAACTTTCATGCCCATAAAATTAAAAAAAAAGTATTTAAAAGTAATTACTTAAAAACTTATCAGCTTTTTGAAAACAAAATTGTATTGAACCAATCGCTGATTGTAATAATAATATTGCGCTAAATATCAGGATTTTTGAAAACCGCAGGGATAAGCAAAACAAAAAAGCGACCGAAAAACCTCTAAGATTCACCATGAAATCAATTCAAACAAGGTGTGTCCACAAGTGGTTACTTAACCGTGAGATTCAAAACAAGCATGTCGTAATGATACAGTATTAAAAATATCAGGATTTTGAAAGATCCCACTTTAAGGTAATAATCAAAAATACTATAATATAAGTACTTTAAAGCAGCAGTAATAAATACTTTTATGTCTCTATTCTTGATTCTGAGTTTTTTACCACTTGTAAAATCATAAAGACGACCATATTCTTCCCTAAAATAGAATAGAAATAAATAATAAATGAAAAAACATAACAATTACATAATATAGAATATTTACAGATTAAGAAAATACCAACTTTTCAATACTACTGAAAGTATGTACAACTCCAGTCTTTGTTTCAATTTCAATATCAAAGGATCTGGTACTTCCACCACTTCTTGCAAAATTTATATTTGCAATTTCTTCAAATCTAATGTGTACTGGAGGCTTATGAACATAAATTATTCCTCTTTCTAAAGGATACAATAGACCATTGCCAGCTCGATATGAACAAGTAACTGCATGCGTCCCACTGTGCCTAAAATATAAAAACTATTAGATACAAATTATTTCCCTCACAGACATAAATTTGATTGTAAAATAAATGCAATTGCTGTAAAATAATCAAATGTATAGATTTAACACCTGTGAAGCAAATGTCGCCCTTGAATGATCTAAATGCGGCCTCCTACGCCTTCCTACCAAAAATCAATTGAAAAAAATTACACGACTATCAAAAGAGAATTTATAATGGCCTTCCAAACCAGAATGTGGATTTACCAAATCAAGATGTTAAGATAATTAAATTTTGACTTATCAATTTCTCTAACTAACATGATTAACTAACTACATGATTGACTAACTACATGATTAAAGGTCAAATTCAAACAATTGAAGATCTGAATTCAAGTTTTTTTCCTTCTGAGAAATTCTAAAACATACAATAAGTTAAATTCATGAAAGAGGATCGAGTGAGCATAACTTCAATTTTTTTTAGTTTAAATATATTTTACATATGCTATGTCATTTAATTTTCGAGCCAAATTGATTTAGAAATATAACTAAGATATCATTCAATATAAAAACTGAATTTGCAGAGACATCAAAAGTCAAAATGTCTTCTTATTTTGAAACACAAGTAAAGAATTTCCAAACATGAGTAACATTTACAGTAAATTTTTAGAATTTACTTCTATTTACCCTTTAAAAGAGCCAGGCACAGTAATTTTTCTTTGGACAATGGCTTTCATTACACGACTAATGACTTCAAAGGTGGGTCCTGACATTTCCTTTTGCAATTTCTCATCATATTTTTCTTTGATGTCCTCCCTGATAAAAAAATAATAAATAAAATGAAATTAGTTAGAAAATATTGTACCATTATTCAAATTACTCATCATTTCCCATGAAGTATTTAGGTGACACATTATACTTAGGAAACTAGGAACTTCAAAAATAAATAAATAAAAAAATTTTTTTTAATGAGAACATTTCCAGATTAAGATTGATGGATTGTCAAGACCTTCATCCATGCAGCAAATTTATTAACAAATATTATAGGCATAAAATTTCTCAATATTAAAATTTTAAAAAAGACAATCATATTTTTAAACTTACAAGAAGCTATAAGGTAAAAAAACGTCAACAAATCAACTAAAAAGGCCAAATCATCTTTGATAAATAGGAAAGTAGAAACCAAATTATTAATATAAATATGAAAAGCCTAACAAAACTGTTCATAGAAATGTCAGCTTTATATTTAAATTTAAAACTGCATAATTATTTTGTTAGTTAATGGTTTTCTAACAAGCAAAAAAAAAAATAAATAAATAAATTAATTACTAGAACAGATCTCAACACATATCAACTAATGGAATTAGAGCTCTGTTCATGTAGTTTAATACATTCTAGAAAGAGAAGAATAGAAAACTTTATAATTTACTTATTTTTTAACATTATCAAATACATAAAAATAGTGAAAAATGATTTTAAAAAAATTGAAAAATATAAGAGAAGAAAATAAACTATAAAAATCAGATTTAAAGAAAAATAACATACATATATTTTTATATTATTAACTTAAAATCGTGATATTGCATTTTAAAATCACACGAATCACAATATTGGCGTAATCACAAATTTCAAAATAGGACTTTTGGTGCCCGGTGGCTGAGTGGTAGCGTTTGGGACTCCGTGCCACAGGTCCTGGGTTCAATCCTTGGGTCGGACAAGGTCGACTCAGCCTTTCATCCCTTCAGTGGGTCGATAAATGACTACCAAGCGTGCTTGGGAACTAAACACTGGGGGTTCCAGGTTTGTCTGACCACCTGACCAGAACATCTGCTCCTGCACCCCAGAGCCCAAGAAAACTGAGATGGGCACAGTAGGCATTGGCCCTCTATGGGCTGTCGCGCCATTGAGTTTTTTAGTTTATATAGGACTTTTAATTCACATAAATATGAATGGCAAAAAAAATAAAAAAATCTAATAATAAAATTATTAGATTGCGGTGAGTAACTTGTGTAATGTCCAACTTTTGAATCATGTGTAATTGAGATAACCGATGATTTTAAAATGTGTGAACACGAATAACAGTATTTGATTTTGAACTCGTGTGAATACCAAGAACGACACTGATTTTAAAAACACGTAAATACAAATCACAAAAATGGATTTCTAAATTATATGAATACAAATCAAAATGTACGATTTTTAAGTTGTGTGATTACAATTCAAAATGCGTAATTTTTAAATCAGGTGTAATTTCAAATATTAAAAAAATCCGACTGTAGTGAAGAATCAAATTTGCAGAAAAATAACATTTATGAAAATGTCTATAACTTGGCTTAGCGAAAGTTTGAAATTTTATATTGTGCAACTTACTGGAAATTTAGTCGGGTTATAAGTTTTAATTCTTGTTTACAAATGTTCTAAGTTTACAAATCAACTGTCTTGAGAAATGCAGATTTACACAAGATCAGCGGCAAAATTACGATACTAGATTATCTTATGCTCTACTCTTAGTTTTCAGATCTGGAACACAATCACCCCTGACAATTGTTTTTCCAAGTCTGATGTAATCATACATAAAATAAATCAGCCATAAGCTTAGAAGATACTGGTTATTATTCTATCATGTTCACAATACAGGAAACTATCTAAAAAAATAAAATAATTTTTCTCAATAAAACATACTCTGAAAGACTGAGCTCAACAGTAGTTTCATCTTCTTTACTAAATAACAAGATCAAAAATGGATAACGAGTTTGTCCTTGTTTGATAGGAGGATCTAAACTAAGCTGAAAGTAGAAGATAAGACAAATTAAAAAAAAAAAAAAGGTGGTTAAAGGCATATTTAGGCTTAAAGTATACAAAAGTAGTATAAGGCATGAAAAATAATAACATTTATTCCCGAGATGAGTATTTTTTAAATTAAAAAATAGTTGGTAACCATAACATGCTTCCTATCTGTGTTGCGTCTGTTTGGCATTTTTAACTTACTTATTCAAATGAAAAACGCAATTGCAATCACTTTGCTTTTAGAAGTCAGATATAGTTTCAAAAGTAATTTTCTTAGTTTTTAATTCAGTTAGTTTGGAAGTCAGAAGTAATTTGGATGATTTAATTCAATAATTTAAAATGCTGCATACAAAGTAAGAAAAAACTTTTTTTTTTTTTTTAAATTACTGAATATAGAAATCGTGAAAAATAAAGGATAAATTAAAATCTTAAATGTAAACTAAAGCCTTATAAAAGCTACCAGCATTTAGCTGCTTAAATTCCTTGATAATCTATAAGCAAATATGTCCTGATTTACGCTACAAAATGATTCTTGAAATAAAAAGAGTTCTTTATTAGAAGAGCTTTAATTGAGTTTTAGAGAAGAAATACAGACATTAGTATAATTAATTCTAGAGAACAAATATTTAACCTTTGTATAACTAAGTTTCACAAAGAAAAAAATCTAATTGAAAATTTTATAGTTTTACTTTTTGTAACAGTTCTTTTCTTTAAAATAAAATGCATTTACACATTTTGGTGTGGAAAGAAAAATGGAATCTTGATAATTTCAAGTCATAACAACATGAATAATATTAAGAGCCTAAAAAAATAATAGTACAATAAAAGTTCGTACAACAACTCACAATAACAGATTTGTTGTTATAGTAAGCATGTTGTTATGAACTAATATATATATTTAACAAATGAATAAAAAATAAAATAAAAATTTGGATTTAAAATCAAACTTAGATTGGACGATTGTCACTACTCACAGATAATAAACTAGACTAGAAATTTATTCAATATGTGGGAGGAAAAAAGAAAAGAAAAAAACAGTGCAATTTCTTTGCTGCCATCGATAACCCGAAATATTAATTTAAACAGTAGGTCGCCAAGAAGGGAAATGGGGCAATTGCATTCATATTAACATTTGAACATGACCTTGTAATATGCAGTGCACACTATATCAGGCTTGTGAAGTACATTAAACAATTCCTTTTAAAAAAGAAGCATCTGAGAGCTTACCACAAAAAACATTTGTCGATTATCTTTGTGAGGCAACAGAAAAAGACGAAGTATAGAATCTAATGGTATCTTGTAATCGAAAGTTTTTCCATGGAGTTGAATAAAAGATGGAAATATTTTAATGTCATATCTTCCCCTATTAACAAAAAAAGAATCATTATTATAACAAAGTAACTAAGATATAAATTCAACTTATCTATCTGGTACTCTCAATAGTTAACAGAAGAAAAAACATTTGTTTACTAGATACATAATGAAACTATGTCATACCTAGGTGTCAGGCATTGCAGTTCTTTGAATGTAACAATTGCATCACCAGTAGCTTGAATAATACTTGCCTTAGCCAAAACATTGTCTACAAAAGCCTAAAAAAGTTACATTGTTAAAATTTATCTAAAGAAATATTTATTACAAAGGCAGTATTAATAATAATAATGAAACAGTTGATAATATTTATATAAATATGGAAAAAAATCTTTTTAAAAGTAGAACAAATTAAGAACTCTAGTAATAATTTCAGTTAGGGGAGAGTCGGGTAGCCCCGCTCACTTAAGGAGTATTGCTTATATTACTGTATAATACTGAGTAATAATCAACATTTTTGTATGTTTCTATTGTTTTATCATCTAATTAAATAATGCAAAAAGAATAAACCAAAAAAAGAATAGTTAAACTTAAAAAAATAGAAATTTAAAAAAACATGTTTTTCAGCTCTTTTCAAAATGTGTCGGGTAGCCCCGCCCAGTTACAAAAATTGTGTTTTTTGGCT